TGCTTGAATCGCCTTGTGCCAGTTAAATGCCAGAAAATTTTAGAGAAAAGCTAAAAAGAAAAAATCTTAAAAAGTGTATATAATAATACACGTTGAAAAAAAATTTAAGAAATTTCCAGAAGAACCAAAAAAAAATTGTATACTTGAATCACCTTATGCCACGGATTAATCCTATAAATTATCATATTCACATATACGTGGAAATGTTCAAAGAATTTGAAAAATCTCGAGAAGAGGTAAAAAGGAAAAATCGTATAAACGAAAAATAAAAAGTGTGTGCTTGAATCGCCTTGTGCCAGTTAAATGCCAGGAAAATTTTAGAGAAAAACTAAAAAGAAAAAATCGTAAAAAGTGTATACTTGAATCACCTTATGCCACGTGTACCCGGATTAATCCTATAAATTACCATATCCACGTACAAATCTCGAGAAGAGCTAAAAAAGAAAAATCGTAAAAAATGTATATTATGTATAATAAGTATATATTAAATTACTTTATGCCACGTGTATTCGAATTAATCCTATAAATTATCATAACGTATATTATATTATAAATTATCCTAATCCTAATAATTATCCAAATGTTGAAAAAAATTTGAGAAGAACCAAAAATTGTAAAAAGTGTATACTTGAATCACCTTATGCCACGTGCATTCGAATTAATCCTATATTAATTATCATATCCACGTACGCGTGGAAATGTTGAAAAAAATTTGAGAAATCTCGAGAAGGACCAAAAAAGAAAAAATTGTAAAAAATGTAAACTTGAATCGCCTTATGCCACGTGCATTCGAATTAATCCTATATTAATTATCATATCCGCGTGGAAAAGTGAATGTGAAAAAATTTTGAAAAATCTCTTGAGAAGATCTCTGAGAAAAGGAAAAAATGGCGAATCGCTTTCTTGTGCCAAGCGTGCACCACTCGTGCATCCTATAAATAATCGACTTTCAATTCGTACGAGAGAGGAACGTATTGGGACGCGTCCCTTTCGTTCACATCCACGCATGGAAAAAAGCATAATCTGTCGACAGAGCATGAGAACGATCGTATTAAACGATCGTATTTTCCCTTTTTTCCTTTTTCCTTTTCGTAGAACCGCGTTCGATTCCGCGAACGGCCCTCGTCTCGCCGCGAGAATCGTCTAAATTAGCATAAAGAGCGGCGCGGATGTGGGCGCCACAGGTATCCCCCGTTCGTGTTTATCGACCGGGGCACGTAATCTTCGATAATCGACAGAGATAAGATCGAGATCGCGGCGAGCGGTGGCTCGCCGCGCTGAAATTACTGTTTTCAGACGCGAGGGAAATGCGGTTGGAGTTTTCGCGGCGGGGATAAAAAAAAAAGGGAGGGATGCGAAAGAGGAGAAAAGGGAAGAAGAGAAAGAGGCATCCTTTTCTCGAGGATTTCTTCGCGAGACGAGGACGCGAATGAATATTTATCGCGGGGATATTTAATAAAGGGGCGACTACTGGAATAAAGTCGTAAAATTCCTAGAAACTTTCCCTCCCTCCCTCCCCTCCCCCCTCCCTTCGCGTTCGATTCCAATCGCGATTTCATTGAGAAAAATAAAAAATAAAAACAGACCTCCTCGATCTTTTTCCTAACAACTTGTTATTAACAACTCGATTCAAAGAGTTATATTTTATTATAAACGAAACGAGAAAAAATCCTGGAGATCGTCAAAGGGATATTTCCTTTTTCGCGCGTTACGTTTTCTATTTCCTACTTTCTAGGTAGTTAAAACTGAGATCTGTTAATTATTTTTATAACTCGTGATATCGATGAGAAAAAAGAGCAAACTGCAAAATGCAACAATATTCCTTATCCATTCTCGAAACATTGGAAACGTATTCTTCGTGAGACGATGTTTGAAAGACGGGATCGGGAAATTCGAAGAGGGAAAAATCGATCGAGATGAACGTAATTTCCTGCGTGAAACGCTACTTCGATGGCGTTGCTAATCGCAACATCGATTCGATCGACTGTCAATCTCTCCCTCTCCTAAAACCAGTTCACCACGCCTCGCTTTTTTTTACCTATCATTATTCCCCGTGTAAACGATTTAGTTAGCGAACAGTCTTTTTGAAGAAAACTGGCTGGGAGGAAAGTCGAAGATAATCGAAAGTTTTTCAATAAATTTTTACAAACACATGGTTCGTGTCTTGATCGTCAATTATCTCGATTCTTAATTAAAATCGTTTGGAAAATTGGTAATCGTCTGTATTACAAACGCGTCGAGAGACGATCGATTTTTCGAGATAACTTTTATTACAAAAAATCTAAACCTAATTTCTACCTACCTTTTAGACAGATAGAACTTTCGACAATTGAAAATAGAAGAAGAATCGACAAGTACGTAGAAAAGTTTCGAATTTTGAATTGAAAAAAAAAAAAAAGAAAAAAAAAGGAACGGGGGAGGGGGGAAGAAAACGGACGTAGAGCGAAAAACATTCCCTTTGTCAAGTGTCGTTTAAACCGCGCTAAAACCCTGACAAACGGCACAGGTGGACTCTCTGCATACTAAATGGCAGAGGAAATTTATGCACCAATTAATGGTGAAAGAAAACGTAATACCAGGGGTGAGACAGAAACAAGTGCTGCGCGCAAACCACTTATCCACGGAAAACAAGTTGCCTGGAAACTTAGCAGGCCGGCCAAGGGAGCTGTGGGACGAGGATCAGTTTGAAGATGGAATGTGGAAATCGAAGCCACGAAAGAGGCCTTTAATAGGCATTATAGACTCCATATTAGATATGCCCGGATTCCAAACTTCGCCACGTCCAACGTTGCCGAGTAAGAATTTCATAATGTGTTTTAAATACGTTTCGCTCGGTTTCCGAGCTAATACCAACCCGAACGTTTCTCTTATTTCCTTCTATTTTTTCCCCGATATTTAAAATTCGTATTATTTTTTCAATCTCACGAATATTTGCATCGAAATCGTCATTGCCTCGATTCGAGCTTTCTTTTTTCTTCTCCCTCGGTTTATCGCGACTCGTTCCAATATATCCGTTCCTTTCTCTTTTTTCTCGAATACGTTTGTGAAGTATATATATTCTCGAGTTACTTTTTAATCTCTCGTAAGATGCATTTCCCCCCCCCTCTTTTTACTCGAAGAAACAATTAACGAGAGGATATTTAATCTCTGCCCACGTTGGTTTCAAGTACAGGGACGTCTGGTCGATTGGGGGTCGAAGAACATCATCGCGGCGGCGGTCCAAGACATCGTGACGCTGTACAACGGGCAGAACGCGAGCGACAACACGGAACTGGAGAACGTGGAGATATCCAACATCTCGGCTCTGAAATGGGACAACGCGGGTAAGAATGTTCGTTCCGATGTAAACGAAAAAGGGAGAGAATCTGACGAGTTTTTATTCCAGGCACGAAGCTAGCCGTTTGCACCAAGTCGTCTCAGGTGAACTTGTACTGCGTCAACTCTCAAAAGATAATTTGGACGACCCCGTGCTGCGGCAAGAACTACTTGCCGCTGTGCTACGCGCGTTGCATCTGCTGGCCTCAGGATGATCGACACGTCATCACGTGAGTGGAGTCAAGCCATTAGTTTTCATCCAAAAATTGTTTCGGTTAGCTTCTTAAAAAGAATGTAACGTTCATGGGACGCGTATTTGTATAGGCGTTCAAACGAGTGTAAGATTACTTCTTATCGCGTGTATATGTGTGTGTGTGTGTATATATATATAGTTAATCGATCGAGTTTACTGCGATCAAATACGCGGTTTGATCGATGTTAAATAACGGTATTTGCGTTAATCGTGCACGCCTCGAGGAAAAGCGTGTGTAAACCGATTTCGCGCGCTTTAAACCCAAGTTAAATTCGATGGATGCTAGTGGAACGAGCAATTTATCGCGCCTCTGTATATATTTTTTTATTAGGATTCGATCTGAAATAAGAGGAATTTTTAAGAAAAGGTTTTGATCCATCGATAAGCATTTATGATGAGCGATTGAATGAATGCTGGATATTCTTCTTTTTTTTGCTTCCTCGTGTATCGAAGGAGGGATGTGGATATTTGGTGTGGATTTGCAGGGGATGCATGGGGGTGATCACGGTTCACTCGGTGGAAAATGGCAACGTCGTTCAATACAATCACGCCCACGTTTCCGAGATTTTGTTACTCGAGTTTTCCTCCAATTATCGATACATCGCCTCCGCTTCCCATCACTCGTTGGACAGGAATATCCGAATCTTCATATGGCCTTATCTCATCCCCTACGTGGATATCGATTACTGCGAACCTGTTCTGGTAAGTGATATTTCTTTGGTAAATATATATATATATATTTTTTTCAGAATTATAAATACATAGTTAATATAGTTGTAAGTTGTTAATATTTATATATTTTCAGAGTTATTAAACTCTGACATATGATATATATATATATCATGTATTAAATTACATGTATATATCATGTTTAATTTAGTGACTTTCTCCACTTTTTAATAATTTGGAGGACATGTATATTTTCAGAGTCATTAGACTAGACGTATGATATATACATTAAACTAGATGTATATCATATGTGTAGTTTAGGG